GGACGAAAATCGGTGCGCGCGCAGGATGTCATCCATAAAAATTAAAAAGTGTGGCCTTATCGATAACCATTAAATGTATAGTGGCATTGGGCATTTAACTTATATGCATTGCAACACCAATATGCGCCCGTGTGTTTCTTTACACTGTTTGCCAGGTAAACTATTGCGCCCTCTCAGCATTGGTCTTCGATCCAACTCTGACGGGACTCTTTCTGAGTGCAATGAGCTTTATATATTAAACCACTTCCTTCTGACATTAAGATTAAGTAAAGGATGATGATTTTTAGAGTACATTGGAAACAAGAGGGGGCGTGTCATTGTGTTAAGGTGATTGCACTCAGATATAGCTGTCCCTGCAGGGGAGGAGCAATCCACATAGACCGACTCTTTTCCCAGAGATTTAGGTCTCTATGGGAATGGAGTTTTAGTACATGATAATACAAATATACATCGCTGTTATACGTTCTCGGAACATTCATGTTTATGCCATGGAAGCACTGATATTTGAGTACATTGGAATATTCCCTGCTGTTGTAGCAAGAGAGAAGCTAAAGGACTACCTTGTTACATTTTAACACTATAAATCTGATGTATTGCCAGTCAGGTGAATTTATTTGGTTAATAATTGTGAATGAAACCATCTTTAAAAAACGGGCTAAAATCTGCAACGCAGTTGGACTGATCGAGGCTAAGACCCAGCCCACTGTCATACAATGATACTATTACTATAGAACATGGCTTTAGGTTCATTTGCACAATTTTATCGCTGCATAAAATAATGTGCTATAATATATTTTAATAGATAATTCCCAATGCGCATATTTGGATTTGTATCTCTTATTTTTTTACATACTTTCACGAAAGGTAGAGGTAGTGGTATCAATTCCTACGTTATACTTCATATATTTCTTTTAACTTGTTAACTCTTCTTGTCCAAAAAATGTCTAAAGAGGTGTAAAATTTAGATATATGCAAACCAGTATTTTGAAATGTATATGCTGCATCTAATTTACATTTTGGTGTGTTTCTTATCTTCATAACTCTGATCAAACATCGAGTTTTAGTCTGAAATTTAATAATCATTTATTTTGTACCTCTCGCTGATGTTCTAAAGAATTCACACAGAGGTGTATTGCGGTTAAATCATTGTATCTTTGCCAACATAAGGCAAGGAAAGCACACTTGCAGACCTTCTTTAAAGTTCAATACCATAATGGATGAAAATGAAGAAACACGGTAAAAAATGTTCGTGTTTTGGGTTAAAATATTTACGATATTCATCCTGCATCTTATACTGTATATGAAGAACGAATCTGAAGGAAAGACCCTTTCTGTATCTGGTTATGAATATTAAAGCTAAACAAGAATGCAATAAAACCACTATGTTCATTCAAAATCCAATACAACGGACCGTCTGCTCAGAATTCGTTTAATTAAATGATCAGTTAGTTAGATCTACAGATATTTCTAAAAAAATTAAATTTGAATAAATTTGAACGGAACAGAACAAGTTACACTTTAAATGCAACACACTTTGTCTACCAATTGCTCTTTTTGAATACTTTTCATCACAATGCAATAATTTTCAAATTTATTTAATGTGTCAAAGAAAGAAAACGCTGTAACGATTTTGATTCTTCATAGACTATGTACAACTTCTTTATCGTGGGTCAAGATTAGGTGTTCGGCGTAAAAGAAAAATATTGATAGGCCTATTTCAGGATAAAGTCCATTTGTGAAACAGTTCCGTGGACTAACCACGACAGGGCACAGTGTTATCGCAAGCGTGCATGGTCTCCTGAATCTGCTTTGCGTTGAGCGCCTCACCAAACCACTGCACACACTTCATGGCTCCTTTGAAGTAGCGGGTATCACCAGACGATAGGTGGCGCGCGCCAATACGAACTGAGCCGCTTGTAGCATGGATGTGTCGGCCCACATATGACTCCCCCAATTCAACGCCGTTCTTGTACATGTGGTACAGCCCGGTGGTATAGTCGTAGGAAACGGCAGCGTGAACCCAGGTAAAGCCTGAGAATACCGGAAGTGAATAGGAACTAGTGGACTTGTGCGGTTGCGCGATCATTAAAACGACATATAATTTGTTAGGACCTATAATCCAAATATGGGTGCCGTACTTGCTGAAAACACCATTTTCGTCTATTTGAAAATTAAACAGGGGACTCTCATTCTTGGCATCTTCAGCGAAGATTCTCACAAAACCGACGTACGTAAACGAGCGAGTCTCTAAACTGCCATCTTCATTCGGAATTGTAAGATAAGAAATAGCCGTTCCCGCAAATTTTGCAGAACCATAGGCGTCATCATAGCTTTCTAGAAAATGAAACATATGCAAAACATGCTAAGTCGATTATTTTATACATTTTTCAATTGATCACCCAGTCTATTTATGAAATATTCTAAGATTACTTCATCAACAAGATGTTCATATTTGTTATCTGGCGTTACAAGAAGTGTTATTAAATTGTGGGATATTACATTAACGTAGCTAGCATATGTAAATAAACAGTAGCAGACAAAATAAGCAATATTTTAAAATATAATATCAGTATATTTATTACCATTATAATTGAAAAATATATTGTATAACTTTAATTAAAAGCGAGCTGCTTTGATTTAGGGCCACCTACCGAAATTGGCATAATTTCAAATGCATGGTACTGACAATTAAAATCATTTTTGTTTGAAAATGGAGTTGTGTGGTGTGAGCGTAATTTCCTGGGTTTATAATACGTATATATTAAGAATTAAGAAAACAATGACGTCAGCGCCTTGTCTAACGGCATACCGTCCAGTAACCGAGTAACTGACTGCATAATTTGTAGTTCGCCATGCCAAATGTCAACCCAACTTTTACTGGCTCTTACCACCATTAAATGATAGTTCTTCATACCAAATGTCAACCCGATTAATGAAAACTCTCTCACAACTTCTACTGGCTCTTACCACGATTAAATGATACACCGTGGACATCAGCATTGTTGCCATGACGACTACAGTCTCGTCCCTCAGTGGAGTTCTGTAGCGGCCAGAATCCAAGAGGTTCCGGTACTCTTGCTGGAACACAGATGCACAATTTCAGTGTAAAGAAATTATAATTATTTTTATAAGAAAAAAAAAATATTTGACAAAATTTGCTCCATAGGCCCCTTTAAAAGAGAACACAAAAAGTGTTAGGGGAGGGGGGTGTATCCCATTTTTTCTGATAAAATGTAATATAGAACTATTGACTTGTGCTACAGCATATATGCTGTTTTGCAGACCTCAGAAAGAGCATGATGTCCATACGAGATTTGAGCACAGTTGGCAGTCTTGCTGGAGAATCAGTTTTGGCAAGATTATAAGATTAAGTGCACACAATGTCAATATACATGCATATACAGCGCTTCTAAATTTGTGTATCCAAATGTTCCGGCTGGATACATGTATCTGTCCCTTTTGTGATCCCACAAGATGGACTACATTTCATTTGTCACTGTACAAAATGTCATTGGAACTGGCTTAAAACATTATTATTGATAGCAGTACCAATTAAACTAACTGACAAAAAGTAGGAATATGTATATAGATTGAAGTACATTGAAATGGGATATCATGTTTTTTTAAAAAGAAGGATGTTTTTTCTGTATTCTGTGGGTAGTTTAAAGTGTGTGTGCGTAGATATGTTATCACCCACTCGCAATTTAGCCTCAAGTCACGAAATACCTCTCATATTACACATATCTAACCATGCTTCATTTTGGTTACTTTGGTTATTGACTACCATAAATTTTTTCAGTTCTTCGATACATGTTCTTCCAATGATTATAACCCCTCCTCCCCAAACCGATCCCTGTACTAAGAACTGGCGTGTCTGATAATAATGTGGTTAAACCAGCCGCCTTTGATCTCCCTTCTACCTCTACAACCATGCTAATTCAAGAGTTTGAAGACAACTTACCACAAGCTTGAGAGTTGCACACCCGCGTGACGATGCTGGTGTCACTACATCTTCTAGTCTGCAGGCCACCACCACAAGAAGCGGTGCAGGCGCTCCAGTCATATTCGCCTTGACAGCCACATGACTGCAAATAAAAGATACTTGGGTACTGACGTACTTTCATTTACAAAACCATGTTTGTATGCACACAAACACAAGCACACAAAAATAAACAGTACAGATATATGTATAGACAGACAGACAGACAGACATACGTACTTTTATACATACATACATATATCTGTACCGTGTATGTTTGTACACGGTACAGATATATGTACAGACAGACAGACATACGTACTTTTATACGTACATACATATGTCTGTGCGTACATGCGTACGCAAATACATACATACATACATATTAATTTTTATTTTATTTTGAATTTTATTTATAAAGGGTAAACTATAATCTATCTTCCACATGACCCTCTGTTACCAGTCATTCAACACTGGCTTTGTTCCGTACTTCAACCTATGTTGAGTGCTAAGCAAGGAGACATTAGGTACCATTTTTATAATGGTTTTTGGTATGGCCCGGCCGGGGATTGAACCCGCGACCTACTGCACCGGAGGCGAGCACTATACCGTTTGAGCCATACATACATACATACATACATATCTATGTATATATATATTCAATCCATATTGTCACTCTGTTCCCCTTTTACTAAACAGATGCAAAACGTTCAAACTGTTTTTAAATTATTCGCCCATTCCCCACCTGATCTCCAGAACAGAAGACAGCCATTGTATAGCAGAAAACACCATGACCAATATCTGGTAAACATTGCCCACCTGATCTCTAGTACAGAACACAGCCATTGTATAGCAGAAAACACCATGACCAATATCTGGTAAACATTGCCCACCTGATCTCTAGTACAGAAGACAGCCATTGTAAGCAGAAAACACCATGACCAATATCTGGTAAACATTGCCCACCTGATCTCCAGTACAGAACACAGCCATTGTAAGCAGAAAACAGTATGACCAATATCTGGTAAACATTCCCCACCTGATCTCCAGTACAGAAGACAGCCATTGTAAGCAGAAAACACCATGACCAATATCTGGTAAACATTGTGGTAAACAGTGTCCTTTGATTGTGAAAAAGAAAAAATAACTTATTTAATAAACTTAGGTTACTATAATGGGTGAAAATTTGCGATTCAGACTTTAAACAATGAACATTTATGAATTACAAACTTTAATACCAAATTTAATGAAACTTGAATCAAAATGTAAATTTTGAGTATAGGCACATCCCCACTGATTTATTGCATTTGTGGTTTACATTTAGCGTAAATGATTCTGGCTCGTGATAATATGTATAACTGCTAAACAACTTAAAGAAAACATGAAATTACGGCATACATGTCAATTGTGAACATGTTACACTTTTGTGCAGTCTGGTCATCTACACCTCGCCAGTAAATTCTACGTGCTGAATCGAAAACCATTAATTGAGCGGCCGTGCTGCTCTTCTTCAAGGAAAATTTGAACTCATGAATGGCCTGAAGTAAGGAAGGGAATGTTTTACTCACAGTATCTTCTTTTGAACTTCAACAATATGTCTTTTACAATTCACTTTGCCAGCCGGCTGTGTTGCCTCTTCGTCCGTCTGTGCACAGAGCTACATGTACGTCGGGAATGAACCACGGGCGACCTATGTATTAACTTTTATACATGACGCAATGCTGAATGTCCTTGATATCCACAGTAATTGAGGAAATGAAACAATGTTACCAGCAGCGACACCAGGCCTTCCCAACTACCAGACTCGGCACCTACGGGTCCAGAATAAACCGGTATATCTGACCACAATACCCGTTTTCAATGTGTGTGCAGGGGCGTAACCAGGCCTTTAAAAATTGTACGCACAGATTTTTAAAATTCCCAGCAAAATGAAGACTAACGCAAGAGATGAAGGACAGCGTAATTACAGCATATGTACCACACATCGCAGCTTAATTTCCATTAATAATAAAATAATCATTTAGTCAGAAATATTCTCGCAATTAAAAATGTTTCAATATTCTTATTACCCAGAACGGTATATTTATTTAAAAGGAGGATAGCTTCGCATATGTGGAACCCCCTTCGAAAAATCCTGGATCCACCTCTGAGTTGAACTAACATACGTTTTCCTTCACCTTACATGTGGATGCATGACTCCCAAAAACAACCAATTGTACGACACGACAGAGCTCTGATACATCTAAGTTTAATTATTTGTTTGTAAAAATTGCCCATGTCACCCTGCTAGTTTGGAGGGGTAAGCTGGGTCAAGTCCGTGTCAAAATTCTTTGAAGCTTTGCAGGAAAATTTCTTCCTTTGTTTCTCTAGCTCCTTTTTGAACCCGGTGTCCAGATTTTATCTAGTGCCCCCAGGGTTGCGGGAGCTGCTCTTTGAAAATAACACTCCGGCAGATTTTACCTGAGATTAATATCGGCAGTGAGAATGCGTACGATATTCTCAAGAAAGAGGGTACAGAAGAGTTTAGGGCCACTGAACCCTCCAATTAAGAGGTAAAGGAAGTTCCAGTTAGATGGACGATTAAGAAAGGACTTGTTAAGGTTACAGGCATTGTTTACCTCAGTTTACAAGACGGGGAGGGGGGGGGTCAAAACAATTGTGACTATACAATTGATACAGAGGATTTGTACATACAGGTGACTTTAATAAGCAGAGGGTTTTCTTTCATATTCCGTGAAAAAATACACTAAATTTATATAAAATAATATCATGGTTGGCCAAAAAATTGTACGCACAGTGCATCCGTGCGTATGCCTAGTTACGCCCATGGTGTGTCAGATCGCATAAAAGAGTATCATACCCTATCACAAATTCTATAAGCCTACCTGTCATCCGGGTATCGCGCCTCGTTTTCGTCAAGTAGGAGTCGCATGAATACAACAGACGACCCCCTCAATCAGGGGGTGGAAACGTGCTACTTATATGATTAAGACGAGCCTAGCCGTCAGTACCGGTTATTGTTTTGTGACCTTGAGGAGCAATTAGGTTTGGTCGTTGCGGCATGCATCAACAGTAGTTGAACTACCACACCTGGGTCTTTTGTTTTTGCCAACTGTTCACTCGTCATCGAGGCGCTTGTTCAAGACTACAGGCTGACATCTACTAGTACTACCAGTGGCTTCATTAGTAACGTTCCCACAATACTTAAGTTTTCTGTCCGTGCGTACAAACCCTGAGAAAGGACAGCCTCGCTGACGAGAACAATGGACGTTTCTCACCCCTCTCTAGGATTACCCCTGCCCTCAATCTCGTCCATCCCGGTAGTCACGAAAATATTTAACCCCCGACAGAATATGCTTCTGCTATCAAAATTAGGTCTACTTTTCTAAATCAATAAATAAGTTTGCAAGTTCTTATTTACAAAACATCAATGGCTATGTCCGAACCTAAATTTTATGTTAAAAATTGCGGTACTGTCAGATTTTAACATAAACAGAGAAAATTGCAGCAGCGCATGAATCTAGATGAGATGCACTACTTTCCAACCCCGCTTAGGATCATTGCTATCACATCACGCACCAGGCAAAATTGGTGTGGTGGCTGATACTCTGTAATGCGATCTGACACACACCTTGAAAACGGGTAGTGTGTTCTGATAAACCGGTTTATACTAGACCCGTAGGTGCCGAGTCTGGTAGTTGGGAAGGCCTGGACACAGCCAGGTCTGACTGCTAAGTAGGTTTTTGTACCTTACCAGTATGCAACAAATAATGCATAAGGGTCAATTGGGGTTTTAGCCAGAACAAATCATTTCCTTGTTCAATCTTTCGAAATTGATTTGGGAAATTTAATGCACATCTTTTTCTCTGAACTTAGTTTAATTCCCGCACAATATGTAAAATATAAATAAAATAATAAATATAATATTTTTCCAGCAAATCTGAATGATGAGTAGGTTAAGTGTGACCTTTTATCCTCGCACGGCCTTATTGCTACCACGAACTGATATTCTGTTGAAATATTCCAAGCATATCGATAGTGTAGCTAGTGTAGCTAGTGTTCTATCATATTAATACAATTACTGTGATATATAGGCCGCCACTTTCTCTGAGATATAATCCCATAACTGATGAAAATGAAGAGACGTGGTAAAAAAGTTCGTCCTTGGTTAAATTATTCACGGTGTTCATCCTGTACTTTTATGAAGAACCAACAGAAGGGGTGTTCCTTTCCGAATCTGGGGATGGAAGTTGAACAAAATGAAGAAAAAAATAAAGTTAACATGTTCATACAAAATTCAATACAATTAATCATCTGCTTAGAATTTATTCAGTTATTCAGTAAGCTAGATTCACAGATATTTCCAAAAGAAAAGACTTTAAATGATCAATAATGAATCAGAAAATGGTCACTCTAAATATAATACCAATTTCTCCATGAAGAGAATCCTTTCGAATGTTTTTCACCAAATGCAACTTTTCTGAAATAAATTGAAAATCTCAAATAAAAAAGCAAGCGATAAATCTAATCAGATTCTTCATAGACTGCTGTTCCTTTATTCTGGGACAATATTGAGAATTTGGTCTTAAAATAATTTAGATAGTATTTCAGTCTAAAGTCCACTTCCTTGAATTAATAGCTACAGGGCACGGGGTTATCGCAAGCGTGCATGGTCTCCTGAATCTGCTTTGCGGTGAGTACCTCCCCAAACCACTGTACACACTTCATGGCTCCCTTGAAGTAGCGGGCATCGCCAGACGAAGCGTGGCGCGCGCCAATTCGAACTGGACCGCTTGTATTGTGGATGTATCGGCCCACATATGACTCCCCCAATTCAACACCGTTCTTGTACATATGGTACAGTCCGGTGGTGTAGTCATAGGAAACGGCAGCGTGAACCCAGGTAGAGCCTGAGAATACCGGAATTGAATAGGCTCTAGTATACTTGTACGGCTGGGCAATCATCAAAAGAACATAGAGTTTATTAGAACCCTGAATCCAAATATGGGTGCCGAAATTTATGAAAGCACCATTTTCTTCAATTTGGAAATTAAACAGGGGACTCTCATTCTTGGAGTCGTTAGCGACGATTCTCACAAAACCGACGTACGTAAACGAGCGAGTCTCCAATTTGGCACCTTCATTAGGAATTGTCAGATAGGACATGGCCGTTCCCGCAAATTTTGCAGAACTGTAGGCGCCATCGTAGCTATCTAGAAAATGAAACATAATAGTATAACCTAATAAGTCGATCGTCCAATCATATCTATTAAAATATTTAATACATCAACGTACTTTTAGACCTGTTTTCCTGATGAGACAAGTAAATTCAAAGTGCAATTATATGTCGGGTAACTTTGCAGTTTATATTAAGACTTACAAATAAATAAATAAATAAATAAAAAGAACTGGACGTAGCTTTATTAATTCAAAGTGAATAAAAGGAAACAGTGCCATAAGCACCTCGTCCCTCCAAGTTCATAACCATTACTGACTCTTACCACGATGAAATGATACACCGTGCACGTCAGCGTGGTTGCCATGGAGACTACAATCCCGCCCTCTAGTGGAGCTCTGCAGCGGCCAGAAGCCGCGAGGTGGTGGTACTTTAACTGAAATAAGGAGTTTGGAGGACTTTGCTCACAATATTTGACATGGTTTGCACCGTTTGCTCCTCTTAATAATAATAATAATAATAATAATAATAATAATGATAATAATAATAATAATAATTTTATTTACGTCTAACGTTTAAAAATAAAAGCCTTCTAAGTCCTATAGATTTTATTTCTAGGACCCTATAAGATCCTATAGTACTTTTTCGTTAGGGCATCACCAACACCGCTATACCAACACATTTACCTATGTTATTTCAAGAGTTTGAAGATAACCTACCACAAGACTGAGAATTACACGCCCGCGCGACGATGCTGGTGTCACTACATCTTCTAGTTTGCAGTCCGCCACCACAAGAAGCGGTGCAGGCGCTCCAATCAAATTTGCCCTTGGAGTCACATGACTACAAATGAACGGTATTGCAGGATATATTGCACTTGCTCTGACGTATCATTCACATTTAACAATTCTTATTTCTAACACATACACGGACACACACGCCAACATATACACACATGCACACACTCACACACATACATGCACATAGACCAAAAGCTAAACCCTATATTTGATTACCTTTGTCCGCAATATGGATCATTATTTTTTTTTTCAAAAACGGACAGAGGACATAATTCACCGACCTAACCTAACCAGGCCAACCATGATATTATTCCCAAAGATTAAATGTAATTTTCACAGAATATAATCGCAAATCCCCTAAAAGGATAACAACTGTTCATTTTGGCCAAAAATGAATTTCCTTGGGATAAACGGTAATTTTCCCATATTTACCAATGGTTAATGAATCCATTTCTACATTCAAGTTAGTCCCTGTTTTTTCTAAAAAGTTTTTTTTTTTTTGTAATAATCTTTAAGAGATAATTACAGAGCTTTCTACGGAGGTCAAGAGGTCAGATGGCAAGCATATATTTCAGATTCATTGCTACAGCTGTCTTTTTTTATGGTAAAATAGAAAATATTTTATTTCTATGAGTTGTTTACAATGTACTTATTGTGAAATATAGATCTCATTCGAAGAGTTGTTTTCCCTTTCAAGTCTCCTGAATGTACATGTACATGTACAGATCTTCTGTGTAAATTGTATACTACCACTGATGTGTCACACCATCTCGTTTATTTTCACAGGACTGAAGTAAACAATACTAGTTACCTCCAGAATTGCTATCGTGATCGTCCATCTAGCTGGGACTTCCTTTCCCC